GTCAGCACCTTGGCAAGCTGACATTGCAGTACAGCATCATTTTAATTAGCTCACACAGAGGACACGCTGAGAAAAAACTGACATATCATTGAGGGATATACTATTAAAAACAATCCTCCTTGACCTGCCATTTATCAGAGTAAATAATACTGCCCTTCAAATCATATGACTTATGTCTTTCTTGGTGTCCTTTGAACTTTGAATTGCAAAATTCATTTGCAAAAGTTAAGAGTTCACCAAAATTTAGTTATGGGTGCCTCTTCACTATCTCACTATTCAATGGATATCTCATCCTTTCTCATCTTCCCCTCCCTCCCTCCCTCCCTCCCTCTCTCTCTCTCTCTCTCTCTCTCTCTCATACACACACACACACACACTTCTCTAAATAGGAAATGTTTTTTTAAAAAAGTTTCAAATGTTATTTTGAGTCCTTAGGTAAATTCAGATAAAGGTTGAACAAACATGCTCAAAGAATTTCTACTACTGTATCACTGAGCCATTAAACTCTCCAGTGGTCAACAGAGTTTTATTGTACAATTTAAAACTGTTAACTTGTTGTTTGCAATGGCTTCTACACCTTCTTTATTATTGCACGATTTTCACTATTATCACCTACAACATGCATCCTAACAATATGGACAGCACAGGTTAGATAAGCTTGTCTTTGCCAATTAAGGGTGGGCTCCTCTTCCCTTCTTTAAAGAGATTCTTTCTAACTTTGCTAAATTGTCATCTTACTGACAATCAATCTGCATAATCCTGCATGGAGTTTCTTTCCAAGCCAGTTCCTCTTTTTTTTACAGACAAATGGAAAAGGATAATGTCTTCTATGAAAGGCTGAAGCTTTTCTTCAGCCATTTCTGCAACATGCCCACTTCAAATAGCACCTGGAAGCAGGATTTTTCTCTTTCCTATATCTATATCTATATAAGTCCTATATAAATTCTTCTCTTTCACACACACACACAAACACATGTGTGTGTGTATACTGTATACATGCATACATGCATACATATATATTTATTTTTCTAGGAGATATGGTGGTTATAGTTGATCTTCAGCCATCTTCTAGGAGATATGGTGGTTATAGTTGATCTTCAGCCATGGAATCTAACTGAGTAACTCTGGGCAAGTCCATTTTCTCTTTCCTATATATCTATCTCTATCTCTATCTCTATCTCTCTATATCTATATCTATCTATCTTTCTATCTATCTCTATCTCTATATCTATCTGTATCTCCATCTCTCTATATATCTATATCTATATCTATATACTATATATATATATATATACACAGTATAGATAGATAGATAGATAGATAGATAGATAGATAGATATAGAGATATAGAGATATATCTATCTATCTATCTATCTATCTATCTATCTATCTGTACTGTATATGTATATGTGTTTATGTATGTGTGTGTATACATACATACATACATACATACATACATACATACATACATACATACATACATATTTATATATATATATATATATATATATATATATATATATATATATATGTGTGTGTGTGTGTGTGTGTGTGTGTGTGTAGGTCTTTGGTTATTCGGGTTTTCTCCCGCGTAGAATTGGAAGTGTCTTGGCGACGTTTCAACGAAGTCTCATTCGTAATCTTCAGGCTGATGTTTTCGGCTTCGTGCTTCTAGGAGCAATGTGTGATCGCAGCTGTTTCTTCCTTTTAACTGCCAGTGGGGGTGTGAACTGATTGGGTGGGAGCTTGGCTGTGTTCTGATTGGGTGGAGGTGTGTTATGATTGGTTGGGGGCTTGGCTGTGCTCTGATTGGATGGGGGGGTTGGCTGTGCTCTGATTGGATGGGGGTGTGTTCTGTTTAGGTAGGGGCTTGGTTGTGCTTGGGTTACTCTGAGTTGCAGGAGGATTTGAGCTGGTGAGCTGTGTTGCTGTTGTTTGGCTTCACGTTCGTGGGCATGCCACATCTTCAGGGTGGGTGTCAGTTTGCTTCATGTATGGATTGGAGGGGTTTAAAGTGGCTAATGATGCAGCTGTGGTCTGGCTTCTGGTTTGTGGTCAAGATGACAGGATTGTGAACCTGTTGAAACGTTGCTATAAGAAAAACTTTTAAAGTCACTGGTAGGATTTTAGCTGAGGTTTTAAAGTACCTTGCAGAGTGCTCTGTAAGGATTTTTAGAAGATTTTAAGATGGGATTTTAACCAGAATTTTAAACATTTTAACCAACTTGTTTACAATGATGCGGGAAAACACCCAAGATTTTAATTTTTTGCATATATATATATACACACACACACACACACACACACAGAGAGAGAGAGAGAGAGAGAGAGAGAGAGAGGGAGGGAGGGAGGGAGGGAGGGAGGGAGGGAGGGAGGGAGAGAGAGAGAGAGAGAGAGAGAGAGAGAGAGAGAGAGAGAGAGAGAGAGAGAGAGAGATAGGAAAGAGAAAATGGACTTGCCCAGAGTTACTCAGTTAGATTCCATGGCTGAAGATCAACTATAACCACCATATCTCCTAGAAAAATAAAAGGAATCTTTTTTTAAAAAAGTGATGTTTTTCTACAGTTGCTGCCCATCTCTATTATTTACAAAATAACTCAAGTCTTCTATGTGGATGACTCTGGAATTCTTGAAAATATCATGTCATTTGGCTACTAGGTTCAGCTTTAAGGATGATAACTCAAGCAATTTATCTACCAAACATTTGGTCCTGGATTTCCAATTTCATGGTTAGCATCCTTACAAGATTCCATAATTTATTTCTAAGTAAGTATATACTGCCCATTTTTCTTTCTTCTGTCTATTCCCACATTTCCTGCGCGTTGTGCACAATTTTGGCTTTAACCAATACGCTGAAGAGGACAGTCATATCTTGACATCTATTAATTCTTTTTCATTACCAGAATAAACCATAAAAATAGAACACAAAAGCTTAAAGGAAGACTATAATACTTGCCCAATTTCCATTACTTGTCTTGCTCAATATAATGTAGCACTGAACACAGTCATTTATTTATTTATTTATTTATTTATTTATTTATTTACATTTTAATTCTGCCTAGCTCATTAAGATTCCTTTGATATTTAGAAAAAATTAGTGCATGTGAAAAGCTTCAAACAGGGGTATTGAGATTTTTTTCCGGCTGGGTTTGAGCATAACCTTTTTAATTTGTGTCTCTGCATAACAGCTGGACTTCAGTGCATCATTGCAACTTAACAAAAGTAGGTCTCTCGATGTGAATAAAAACTGTAATTATCACAGGGGAACAAATTATACAGAAAGCTTTGCTTCAATAAGATTGCCACATATTTAGAATGCAGCTACATCAATACTATAGCATCATGAATGAACCAGAGAGTATTTCTATTAATTGTATATACCAGAGATGAATGAAAGCTATATAGAATTTTATGGTAGTGAATTTCCAGATCTTTTATTTTCAAAAACATCAATTAACCTGTTCTAATTATTTGTATTCTACAATAAACCAACATATGAAGTATATTATCTCTCGACTAAATTTGATTCTGTGAGAGGTTGACCTGGACAATTGTCCTGTCTTCTTCTTCATGGGATTTCTCTAGACTGAAGGTTCTAACCTTTTCATTCCGCAGAGTAAGGCTGTGGTTTTATACAGAAGAGAATAAGCCCAAATCCCCACATTCCTCCAAATATGGACAAAAAATCTAATTTTAAGACATGTCCTCATCATATTACCATTTTTTTCATCTCTAAACTACTTCAGAGACTTCCTACACTGATGTTCAGATGCTTCTGGAGTACATTTCCTTTCTTCTTTCATAGAATAAAATAGAGTAGAGTAGAGTAGAGTAGAGTAGAGTAGAGTAGAGTAGAGTAGAGTAGAGTAGAGTAGAGTAGAATAGAATAGAATAGAATAGAATAGAATAGAATAGAATAGAATAGAATAGAATAGAATAGAATAGAACTTTATTGTCACTTTAAATGTACACTAATCAGCATACGTTAAAATGAATTTTTATTGTTTTCAATTTTCAAAAAATAACCATTATGCATATACCCACATACACACACATATGACACAGAGGAACATCACAGTCTAGTTCGAATGTATACATATACATGGTGGGGGAAAAAAAGAATCCTGCAAATTTACAAGATAGATAGCATAAGGAACAAAGCTGTTACAGAATCTAGTAGTCCTGCTATATATACTTCAAAACCTCCTCCCAGAGTGGAGCAACAGAAACAGACCATGAAGTGGGTGTGTAGGGTCTCTAACAATACTTCGAGTTCCAAGCACCTAGCGCTTATACTAAATAATGGGAAGCAAGCTTCCTATAATCTTCTCAGCTGTCCTTACCACACTCTGTATGGACCTTCTATTTGAGGCACTGCTACCACAAAACCATACCACAAACAATGATGCAGTTTGTTAGAACACTCTCAATCATGCCTCAATAAAAAGTGGCCAGGACAGAAGGAAAAATATGTGCCCTCCTCATCTGATGCAGGAAATGCAGATGCTGGTTTGCACGCTTCACTAAAGATAATGTAGGATGACACCAAGTCAGATTATTAATCTGCACCCCCAGATATTTAATACTATTGACCATCTCCACAGCTCCAGCCTTGATACAAAGTGGAGTATGACTATACCAGATCTTTCTAAAATCAACAATGATCTCCTTTGTTTTATTGACATTCAAAACCAGGTTATTTTTATTGCACCAGTCCACCAAAGCTTTCACCTCCTCCCTATAAGAATCTTCACTGTCATCCTGGATGAGACCCACCACTGCTGTGTCATCCGCATACTTCACAACATGATTCATAATAGACTTGGCACAGCAGTCATGGGTCATCGAGGTGAACAGTAACAGACACAGCCCTGTGGGGTACCTTACTCAGGGAGATGGAATTGGAAACTTTTCTTCCAACTTGCTCAAACCGAGTCCTATCATTAAGGAAATGAAGTATCCAGTTATAAAAAGAAGTATTAAAACTTACTCCCAGTTTGTTCTTCAAATGCTGAGGAATAATTGTATTAAACGCCAAACTAAAATTAACAAACAGCATTTGCACATGAGTATTCTTCTCTTCCAGGTGCGCCAAACTAATATGAAGCACACATATTGGACATGATTGTCTTGACATGATTTGGCCCATCTTTTCAGTTAACTAGGAGCTGCTCATTTCCTTCAAACTGGTGTGGACACACATCTTTCCTTCTGGTCTCTAGGCACTTTGCCTCACCAACATTTGCTATTTTGTTTTGTTTCAGGTCTTGAAAACCCACCAGCCAGCTCCACAAAACAAGCAGGAGATAAATTTGACAAAGAGGCAGTAAGTGTCTTCTAGGTAGGGGACAGGGGTGGGCTTAAAAAATGTTAGCAAGGGATTCTCTGCCCAGTGGCTGGGTGGGTGTGGCCATGGTGAGTGTGGCCTAGTCGGCCTCCTGCACCATGGCCGGTGGGGGGGGCATTTTTGCCCTCCCCGGGCTCCAGAGGCTTTCCTCGAGCCTCTGGGAGGGTGAAAACGGCTTCCCCAGGCTTTAGAGGCCCTCTGGAAGCCAGAAAGAGGCCCATTTCCAGCATTCCTGAACTTCCGGTAGGCCCATTCTTCACCCTCCCTGAGCCTCTGCATGAGCCCTGCACTTACCTGCATCCAAAATGGGCCATGTGGGGACTCCTGGGTGGGGCAGGGTGGGGTGAATGGAGCCAGGAGTGTGATTTGGGGGTTCTCCGAACTGCACAGAATCTTAGCTAGAGGTTGTCTTGAACCCCTGCAAACCCCCAGCAGCCCATCCCTGGTAGGGGACAACGATGCAGTGGGATAAATCACTACATGACCCACCAATTGTCAAGCTCTTTGGGGGTCTACTTTAAATGCCCATCACTTCTCACCCATTTTACAAGCTGTGGGATGGGTAGAGTAGAAAGATATATTTTTAAACACTAAGCAATTCAAAATACATATTTGAAGAATTAATGCCTTAAATGCTTTAAATATTGTTTTCCATATTAGCTTTCCTGAGTTCAGAAATCAGTATTGAAGACATACTCACTGATCACACACAAATGTCAAAATAATACTGTCAGGAGACAGACACTTTGGAAGTCTCTCCATGTCTGGGAATACCTTACCATCTGGTGACTTCAGACCTATTTTTTCAGGACTTTAAAAAACCTTGTAGAATTTTTGATTCCCACCCCCTGCTTTGATTAGCTGAACCTTCTTTTGATTGGATGTTTTGCAATATCATCAGTGGCCCCTACCACTAGCTATTTTGAGTTTTATGACTTCATTATTTTTATCACTTATTAATTGCTACTTATTTGGTATATCGATTGTTGGAAGCTGTCTTGAGCAGATTGCAATCCTTTAAGCCTGCCTATTTTTACTTCATAAACACATGCTTTAATTCTAAGATTTTTTTTTAAATACTTCTGAGGAAGATTTTTCATTTCATCTTTTATTCAGAACTAAACTGTAGCAGTCTAACACTTTGGATCAAGAAGAAAATACCCACTTTTACAGGACACGTACAGTCCTTGAATCTTATTTTCATGTTCTATGTAATTCGTAAAAGTGCACTGCGGAAATTCAGATACAAAACGTAACTAATTTCTTGCTTATTTTTGATAACTCTTTGGCTATTCTCTTCCACACTCTCTCCCCCCATTGCTATCCTTTAAACCTGCTATTCAGCAGGTTCTGACAGGTTCTGGAGAACCGGTAGTGGAAATTTTGAGTAGTTCGGAGAACCAGCAAATGCCACTCTGGCTAGCCCCAGAGTGGGGTGGGGATGGAGATTTTGCAACATCCTTCCCCCAGGAGTGGGGAGGGAATGGGGATTTTGCAGTATCCTTCCCCTGAAGAGGGGTGGAAATGGAGATTTTGCAGTATCCTTCCCTGCCATGCCCACTAAACCACACTCACTGAGCCACACCATGCTTACCGAGCCACACCATGCTCACCGAGCCACGCCCACAGAACCGGTAGTAAAAAATTTTGAATTTTACCACTGCCCCATTGCAAAAATAAGGAGCAGCCAGAGGATTGTTGAGTCTAATATATGTCCTTTTTCCAAGCTGACTATTCCAAGCAAGGATCGTAATGAGGGAATTAAAGGAGAAGAAGGTGCCCATTGAAAGAGGAAAAAATATGTTCGTCCTTTTTTAATCACAACCAGGAATCTACTTTTGAAACATATGACATTGATTTGTTTTGTTTCTCTGGAAAGTAACAAGTTGCAAGGTAGGGTAACATCAATTACTCATGGCTAAGCAGGGACTGGAATCCAGGTGTGTGTATATACATTTTGGCAAGTCAGAGATAGATTGGCCATTATTTGGGAGGGGGGAGATTAGGTATTGCATGCGTAACTTTGATCTTTCAGAGAAGTGAACTTAATGGTTCCCCCCCCCCTCTATTTTCCTGAATTAAGCTCTTGCCCTCAATAGTATTGGAGGGGCATATCAACCAAGTAGCTAATGCTCTTGGCTTAACTTAAAGCTCCTATGCTGCATTCTACAGTTTGTAAGGAACCTGTAAAGAAATAAAAATGGTTTGTGTGCCTGATTATTTCTCAAGGGTTTCAAATGTTACTCATAAAAAGAAGAAGCTTGGATTCATGAACATGATTGTACTATTCGCTTTTTAGTGGGGTTGGAATTTACAGGGCTTTAGAGTAAACCCTTGATATCTGATATTGCCCACTCTTGAAAAAATCATTTCCTCTTCCCATATTTCTTCTTAAGAATAATTTAATACATTCTTTTATGTGCCATATCCTCATGGTATACTTTTCTGAAGAGCCATGGTGGCACAATAGTTAAAATGCAGGCTGACTCTGCCCACTGCCGGGAGTTCGATCATGACTGGCTCAAGGTTGACTCAGCCTTCCATCCTTCCATGGTTGGTAAAATGAGGACCCAAATTGTTGGGAGCAATATGCTAACTCTGTAAACCACTTAGACAGTGCTTTAAAGCACTATGAAGCGGTATATAAGTCTACGTGCTATTGCTGTTTTCTGGCAATTTATTACTTCAAAAATGTGATTCCCAAAGGAAAAAAAACTAGAACCATTGCATTGTTTCAGCTTGTATCATCATAATTATACCAGATTCATGGTCAAGGAAAATGTTCATGCTTCTGATTGTTAGTGCTGCCTTGACTGCAATGGATTCAGAGCAGTGGTGAAATTCAATTTTTTTTACTACCGGTTCTGTGGGCATGGCTTTGTGGGCGTGGCTTTGTGGGTGTGGCTTTGTGGGCATGGAAGGGGAGGATACTGCAAAATCTCCATTCCCACCCCACTCCAGTGGAAGGATATTGCAAAATCTCCATTCCCACCCCACTCTGGGACCAGCCAGAGGTGGTATTCGCCGGTTCTCTGAACTACTCAAAATTTCCGCTACCGGTTCTCCAGAACCTGTCAGAACCATGCTGGATTGCATCTCTGATTCAGAAAAATAGCAGTTTCAGGAAAGGGGTATCATCTACTTTTTTAAAAAAAACATTAATAACTGTACTTGAGTAATTTCTAAATTAAATATCTTTCTTTCGCCAAAGAAAGAGATCTGGATCCTTCTATTCTCTTATCAAAATAAATCTAACTGAGATCCTTATGCAGAGCAGTTATTTCTCTTTGTATTACTTCCCAGCCCAAACTCACGACAATGATATCTGTGCTCTTTTCTTTCTCAAGGACTCATTCCTATACCATTATTGACACTTTCCAATCAATATGTTTAAGAGCTTTTTTTTTTTCTCCTCCCAGATCAAATGCAGGAGTGATTTGTATGTTTACCTTGATAATATACACTTGTCTCTTTAAGGTGACAGCAGATGGTCCAATCAGAAGTGGCAGGACTAAGTGCAGAAAATACAGCAAGCCATCTCAGGCTCCCTTAACCATAAAATCGATGAGTTTATGCTCAACTGAGCGATAAGAAATACTCATGAAATGTCCAAGGGTGAATCAGGGTGGCTGGGTTACCAAGTTCCTCTCTCCGCTAAGTGCAAAGCGCATGAGTAATGAGCCCTTTCCACATCATCAAAGGCAAGGAAAATATTTATCAGTTAAATATTGTGTCCCCTTTCCTCTATTTCTGTGTCTGAATATCTCTTTTGGCAATTGGTCCTTTTTCTTAAATACCTTTCTCTCTTTAAATATAAATATAAACAAAGGAATAAAACTTCCACTAGCTTGAGAATATATGATTGCTGAGTTTGATTGCAGAGTTAATCTTTCTGCTATCCTTTCTTTTCCTTTTTGAGTTCTCGGAAACTGACACAGGAAGCTTTAAAGCTATGTATCTTTGGGTTTTTTTTTTTACTATTATTATTTCATGGTTGCATTTTATTTATTTTACCTGCAATATTATTACTCCTATTGTTACTAAATCATCAACACCACCCATAGAAACCTGGAAAGGACATGCATTCTAATTGTAGTGGCTGGCATATAACCTCATTCTTAAAATCTATTGTAGAAACATTAGTGCTCACATTGTTCCTTCTTCTATTGTACAAGGAAAAAAAAGCAATGTGGCTTATTGCTTGCAAAGACGGTAAGTTAGAGGAACAGGAATACGCATTGCATTCTTATGCAATTTTGCAGCGTAATCTTATATAATTATAAATCAAACATGGCAGTGTTTACACAGCAAGAAAGGCAAAGTGAGACATAGAGATATAGCTCATGCCATCTTCTACTAAATAATTTTAATTGGACAAGCACTATGATTCTGTATAACTGTAATTCCAGTGAAATTAAATTTCTTTATGATACACTATTTCAATAAGCTTGGGAAATATGGGGTGCTACCTCATGAAAATTAGCCAAGTAAATATTCCAAGAAAGTTTTTTTTTCCAGTTTTCTCATTTCCCAACTTTGCAAGTGTATAGGATCAGGTACCATGAGGGAATAATGCCATCAATGATAGCCTTGTTGCCACTGATGGATGCTGTAGTCACATGATAAGAAAGTGCTGAGGAGTTGATCTGTCATAAGACACTTAAGATAAATACGGTAGTTATTGTTATCATATGGGGAGCAGGTGTGTGAAATCTTTACTAGAAAATGTTTGCTGCCAGTGACATGAAACATGAAGTTTTTGTTTCTATGCTAGAATCGTGTCACAAAGTTTTGACCTGATCTTAGTATAGGTTGTACTGGATGCCTGACCCACTGGATACTGCATATCCTGAAATATTTATACTCACACTTTGTTACCGTGTACAAATAACTAAGCATCAATCCTGCATCACCTCACACATCATTGCGGTTATAAAAATATGTGACATGAATGCTAAGTCTCATTCATTCATGGAAGTAACATTGTGACAGTACACACGGTAGATCAGTGGTTGCTCATTAAACTGAAGACTATAGGAGCTCTTTCTACACCCAGAGACACATCTGGAGCAAGACAGACATATTTATACAGTATTCTTCTTGAACACTATTACTGAAGATAATACGTAGTAAGAGGAGTGTACTTATTCTCTTAATTCTTTTTTATAGCTGGGTAGTGGCCATTGCTTCTTGTAGTAGAAAATGTCAGTATCTGCAATATGAGGAAGTACCTGTTTCCTGAATCTCCCACCATTCAGCATCCTACATGATAGTAGTAACATTGTAGAGAGTCAGTCTGTGTAATTGTTAAGGCACCATGAGACTATGAGTTCTAGTCCTGCCAAGGCATGAAGCCAGCTTGAGCCAGACACTCTCCTTCAGCCTAAGAAGCAGGCAGTGGCAAAACATTGCCATTAACTAACTCAAAGGAACCAAAAATATACTCCCCAGTGTTCTTATGAAATAACAATATCTCTTAAATTATATCAATGTGAGGGTCATCAAGACATGGTGAGCATATTATTCCAAAGTAATGAAGTGGGCACAGAAAAGTTTTCTGAGCCACACTCCTGGATCTCAAGCATTTTTGGGCTGAATTAAAGGCAGACTCTATTTGGAGAAAACACCACTCTAGATAACATGGAGAAGCCATGTAGGTTTTAAGGGCCTTAATCCTTAATTATAGTGAAAAACACAAATGTGAAAAACATTTTTGCGACCAATGTAACTCCTATGCTATACAGTAGGTTTAACATTCCTGAAGCAGTTCTTCCCTATCAGAGTACGTGGTGCTGTAATGCTTCATCATCATCATTAGGTCCTGTGCAGAGTATATTGGGGCAGCAGATGTTTTCCAGTGATTTTGTTCATTTGCAGTATCTTTGTCACCATCCTCAGGGACCTTAATAATCTTTCTTAAGTGTTTGGCACCAGGTTTTCTGAGGCCAGCCTCATTTTCGCCAGGTGGTATGTAGTGCAATTTTTAGATGCCAGTCAGTTATGGCCAACATGCAATGTTCAGTCACAGTTCTCAATAGATGTTTTAAATCTGATCTTTGTAATACCTCTTCATTATTGATATGGTCATGATATGAGACGGAGCATTCTTCTCAAGCAGCATTGTTGGTACATTTAACCATTTAATCATCTAGATTGTATATTTCTATGTTTCACAAGCATATATTACAGTTGGTATAACAACATTCTTGAAGAGACCAAATTGGGCTCATGCATTAAAACATGGCTGCCGCCATTCCAATTCGATAGTTAATGGCCTTCTCCATCAATAGATATAATGCTGCCAAAATAAGTAAATAGCCTGGCCACAGACTTAATAGGCATATTATCCTGAGCACTTCCAACTTGCATGAACTTGTTCTTCTCAAAATTTATACATAAGCCAATTTTGTGGGCCTCATTACCTAAGCTGGTGGTCATTTCTTGCAAGCATCCCTATATAATGCTTACCACCTAAAATTTCCAAGTAGTTTTCAAAGATAGCTCCAAGTAAATCACATTATCATAATTAAATCTTGATGTTAAATCTTAAATTTAATTAATAATAATAATAATAATGTAATGGCAGCATGATTGCCAGGACTTCCCGTTGGATAAAGCATGGATCATTTGAAGCTGGGCAAAGACTACACTGGCTACATCCCCCACCTGCTGATCAAATAAAAGTCGTGAATCCAGGAGGACCCTCAAGTTATGGGCATGCTCCCTTAGAATAAATAAAGCCCCATTCTCAGTAAGCATAGGTACTATGGTCAGACAAGTGAGCATTTGGACAAACACCAAATCAGTCTTGCTAGAACTGAAATTCAATTTGTTTTATCCCCTTCACTTGCTTACTGTGCCAGATATTGAGCAGGAACAACCCCATATCTCCAGTATTGCAGGAGTAGCCTGTAGCTCAACTGCTTCTTCCTCATAGCTACACACTGGAAACATTCATTCACCAATCCAGAAGGATCAATAGTATGAAGTGTCACTGAGATATCCAGTAAGATCCTATCATCCAAGTCCCAGAAGAGGCAATTTGCATACTATGGCATAATTTAGTTTGGTCTGCAATATTACAGATCCCCAAAACTATTGGCATTGCTACAAGAGGCCTTATTTGAAGCAAACCAATTTTCTTAAATGTCCCAATGCCTTTACAGTGTGTACATTCAAATCAACATACTTGGGATGATCTTCTATCCTTGTGGATAACAAAGGCAGCTTTGTGATTAATTGCATCTTGATTCCATTCAACAGACGGGAGTGTCTGCAGGAATAGTTAATGGCTGCTGCCTGGTTTATTGCAATCCTGTTTTTTTTTTTTTCCAAACCTGATTAGCAATTGAATACTGAGAACTGATTGATGGATCCACTGTTTCTTTACAGGGCTATAAACATATTCCAAAATGGAATATACATATTTTTACTTTAAAAATAACAGCATCACTAGCGTATTGAGGAAAGGAAAGAATTACTTACATATAAAATTAAGGGACAAAATCAGAAACCTTTTCAGATTGCCTATTTACACTATGTTTTTATTATTTTTTAATTCTAAAAAGATATGATGAAACTTTTCCTTTACATGCTTATGCTATTGGGAGGAGTCATGTTTTGCATATCAATGTGGGCACAGAAAACACAATATGGTAAGAAACCTACCCACTAATACTGTATTACTTTTCAAACTGACTTTAAAACAATATTCAGAGATTGATGAAACACCTCCCTCCCCCTCCCCTCTGTTTCTGTCTCTCTCTCCCTCTCCGTCTCCCTCTCCCTTTCCCTCTGTGTGTGTGTGCATTACACACATCTATATTTGAAATGCCATTTCATCTAATCTCATTGGGAACATGGTGGCTTGAATGGTTGGGATGCTGGGCAGGAGGCTAGCAAGTCCATGTTCGAGATTCGAAAGCTGCCATAGGGCAAGGCTGAACTCTCATCCTTCACCCCAGTTCCTGCCAGGGAGATAAAAGAAGCTCCCAATTGAGCATTCCCTATGCAATAGTGACTGCTAATCCTTTCAACCAGGAAGCACCTTGGTGCTTCTCACACAAATGCAAAAAAATGTTTTTAAAGAAAACCCTGAACATTAGGAGAAGATAAAAGAGAAAGTGTTATCTGTTTCTTGCTTTACTTCTTAGGGATATGAACCCCATTCCCAAGGACAAATAATTATGTGAAAACAAGGCTCCAATGTTGGAAAAGGTAGATGGAAGACAACAATCAACAGCAAGGATGGTTCAAAGATTACATACTAATATGAATATTATGAACATTTCTTCTGTCTGGGATAGAATGGGTGAGAGAATTAACTTCTAAACTATCTTGCTATTCTACCAATCAACTCCGGAGATCAATGGGAGGATAACTCATCACCCTCACATAGATAAGATGTTGAATTATGATTTAAACATAGATTTTATTTGTTATGTTATTATTTTATTCCAGAACTTTTAACTAGATACTCTTTGACTATTTTGAATTGTACTGATCTTTGACTGTAATAAATACTTCCTTTTATTTCATTCTACCAGTCTGAAGTAGATTAATATATAAAAGCTAATGGTTTTCAGAATATATACAGTCTACAGCTGCTTTGTATATTTGGATGGATGCATTTTATGATCCGCAGTTTAGAAAAGCATTTTCGACATTTTACTATATTTGATTTTTATAATGATGTGTCTAAAGAAAAAAATAGGGAGTTGCAAAAGTAGTTTTTATCACATTTGCATATTATTAAAAGACATGAGGATCTTGAAATATATTTATTATTTACTAAAAGGTCTTCATATGCCTGTAAATGTGAAGATGGTTATTTTCTGGAAACAACAATATATACAGCCACCTAGTATTGGTTCTACCTCCACATTTGTGATTTGATAACACAATGATAACACATTCAGTAAGAGAAATATTGGGTGAATGTGAGGTTAATGCCTATTAATAGATTGTGCCATACTAGAATAACTGGTAATTTGGCCAAGAAAGTGAAAAAAATGATAAGTAGCAGCGGAAAAAAAAATAGGGAGGAGGATAATATTATCAGTAAGAATCAAATTAGTAGAAAGAAACCAATAAATAATATGAACTTCATCTAAAGGCCCTCATGATTCTTAATTTGTGTTACAACAACAGTTATCTCCTTTTAGTTTAGTTTTTGTTACTCTGACTATCTCATTTTGGCCAACTCTTTAACTCATTTTTGGCTCTGTTTCAAGAAAATTTCAAAGGCATCTTTAATCTAAAGTAACCAACCTGGATCATTTCTGTATTGTCCATACATTTCTTCTATCATTTTGTATAGTTTGATTATGACTGTACATGGGCACCACACTACATTTTGGAGACCTTTCATAAATTGCGATTTCAAGGAGAAAATCTTTTCAAAACAGGGAAACATCTCCATTCTGAAAGCAAACAAGAAGCCCCAAAAGATGGCTAAACAATAATTTGAAGGATTAATAGTGGTTACTTTTGTTCCTATGTTTCAGTATACATAGCTGAAATAGAAATTATACCAAGATTGTAGTACAGGAATACATCCAATTCTTCTATCTGCATGACCGTATGAATGCTGGCTAGGTGACTTTGGGCCAGTCACTCTCTCAGCCCAAATCACCTCACAGGGTTGCTGTTAGGGGAGATAATAAATAAAGGAAGGAGCTTTAGTTATGTTTATAAAAAACATCAAAAGTAGTAAATAAATAAACAAATAAATAAATAAATTTTGAAACAAAAAAAGCATGAGGGAAAAACCTTATTCTACAAAGAACTCTATCAACCTTGCACTGGTCAAGCTTTTTACTTTCTTACATGGAAGTTTATTATTCCCCATTTCAAAATGAATTTCTGATTTAAAATAAAAATCAGCTTGAAAAATTTTCACACGTTGTATTTATCTTTTCAGCTAAAGTAGCCTTTTGTATGTATTTTTCTCACAGCCTGGATTTTTGTACTTAACATTTCTTAATGCACGTACTTCTCTGCATTTTCATCTAATGTAATGTGTATTTATGCAACTTTTTCCTACAATTGTCTTTTTAATAAATTGTAATCTGCAATGTCAAGGATAAAGAAGTGCACATTTAAATTTAAGATGTTTCAATCTATGTATATTATGAGAAAATGCAAGTTGGTAAATTACAAACTGAATGAGTTTTGCTGCTATCCCTAAAGCTTTCCAGCTGATGATTTCATAGAAACTGTAAAACCACATAACTGATTATCACTAAGACTTCAGAACCAGATCTAAAGAACAGTGTGATTAAATCACATTTATCTGCTAAAGGATGTCCTAGGAACCAATGGAAAAAGTATTTTGTGGGATAATTTTATAAATTGGGTGAAATCGATGTACACCTCATAGACACCATAAATACAGTAGGCAGTCTTCAATTTACAACCGCAACTGAGCCCAACATTTCTGTTGCTAAGGGAGACATTTGTTAAGTGAGTTTTCAATGACAATTCTTGCCACAGTTGTTAAATGAATCATTGCAATTGTTAAAGTTAATTACATGGTTGTTAAATGAATCTGGCTTCTCCATTGATTTTGCTTTTCAGAAGGTTGAAAAAGGTGATCACATGAAGACCTGCAATTGTCCTAAATGTGAATCAATTGCCAAGCTTCTGAATTTTGATCATGTGACCATGGGTATGCCACAACGATCCTTGGTGTGAAAAACAGTCCTAAGTCACTTTTTTCAGTGCCATTGTAACTTCAATGACTACCATGGTGAATGGGCCACGACAGCGCCGAATGGGCAGCAGCGAACAAGTGGCCATGGCGCCAAATGGGCCAGATGCATGCTGGGAGGCAGAGACAGGTTTTTTTTCTTGTTTTCCTCCCCAAAAAGCTAGGTGTGTCTTATAGTCTGGAGCATCTTATACTCCGAAAAATATGGTAAATATAAACTCAGATTTCACCCAAAAACACCTTTATGGCTTTCAACACAATAAATATTTTATAGACAACAAATGCTAAATAAACATAAATGCTTAACCTACAGAACATACAAAATGTAGAAGAATATTTTCAAGGGGATTTTAAAATGAAATCATGAGGTTTAATAATGGAAGGATGCTCTTGTGAATGTCTATAAAGGTATTTCAAATCTTTGCTGGAAATGTGAACAACATGAAGGGACTTTTTACCATGTTTGGTGGACATGTAAAAAGCCAAAACATTTTGGATACATGCATTAATTCAGAAAGTCTTAAAGTTTAAAGTACAACTGAAACCAGAGAGTTTTCTTTTTTGGACTAATGAATAAGCAGCCAGAAAATAGTCACTGAACTTTGATTTTATATATAATAACTGCAGCAAGGCCATTATATGCTCCAAAATGGAAAGACTCAACACTATCAATAACTAAGGAATGATGGAAATGGCAGAGATAGCTAAATTAATCTGTGATTAAAAGAAAAAATATATAGTTTATGATCAACCAGAAAGTCCTTATAGGCTTTTTGCATGGAATAGAAAAAAAAATGCTTAGGATTTGTGGGTTGGATGATTTGGGGAAAAAAATATCAATAATAGAAAGAATAGGGGTTTTTTTGTAATCATAGAGTAAGGGTTTTTTTGTAAATATACTTTTATTTGTTGTAAAGCAAGCTTCTACTTTCTATTCTTTTTAATTTTTTTCTTTCTGTAGTCCTTCCTTCCTTCCTTCCTTCCTTCCTTCCTTCCTTCCTTCCTTCCTTCCTTCCTTCCTTCCTTTCTCCTTCCCTCCCCACTCACTCCTTCCCTCCCTCCCTCCCTCCCTCCCTCTGTCCATCTGTTAAATCTGTTTGTTTGTTTGTCTGTCTGTCTGTCTTTATTAGTTTGGGTTAGTTTTTATGGATTTTGTAAAACTTTAATACAAACATATTTAAAAAAGAAAACAAAATGGGATTTAACTATCAAGATGAAGATGAATAGTCCTGAAGACAATTAGAAATCTAAGACCACTGAAATATGTTAGGATACACATAAGACACCATTTTAACTCTAGTCATTAGTTAACTAAAATTAACCAGTCCCATAGATTTGAAGAAATCAATGAAACTATATCTCATCTAAAATACTCAACTAGGTCAACAAAGATAAAAATAATGGCAGCATATATCTAAAAATAGAATGAGAGAGTCACTATCTGCCATCCAAAACAAAATTAAAAAAATGTACACACTGCAAACAAGGAAATAGCACAGTCACCACTTGCCTTATAAGTACACTGTTAATCAAAACAACAATTTATGCAATTAGTATGCAACTAAAGAACCAGGGTGTTTTTGTTTATATTTTGTTTATATCTTTATAGGTTTATAGATAGACATGCATATATATTAAATCTGAATTAAACTTGGGCATGTGTGGTTAAATATCTAAAATATGTATGTGATTGCCTATCTTATTAGTATGCATTTACTACTACTGAATTCTTAAGTTAAGTAATTAAATATGTAAATGGACATTTGGAAATGTGAATGGAAATTTGTACACAAAATTATACTACCTTTCTGGTTATGCATTGACAGTAATTGTGGGCTTCCACTAGGCTTGAATTAATATCTCCTCAGTAACTGAACTTTTGCAAGAGTGTACAGTTGACAACTACTCCATGGACCATGAAGGTCATTCATGATAAGCAGGGTTTTTGCCCATTTTATTGCCTTTCGGTCTTCTTAGAAAGAGGGCACTGCAGGAAGCATTGAAAGCAGTGGTGGGTTCCTCCCGTTTCAGCCCGGTTCTCCCGAGCCGGTAGCAGTGACGATATGACGTCACCGAACCGGTTCTGCCCCCCCGCCCCCCCACCCCCCCTGCGCCCCCCACCTCCGCGTTATCCTTACCTTTTATTTGCCCCCACCCCCAATCTATTGCTGCCTCCTGAGTCCCAGCTGATGGCTACAGGGAAAAAAACTGTTTAAACTCTTGCCGTGGGGCTTCAAAGGGCCCCCCCTACAGCTGATCAGTGTTAAAAGAAAACAAATGAGTAGACTAGTGCCTGCAAAAATACATGAGTAGATCAGTGCCTGCAAAAATACATGAGTAGATCAGTGCCTGCAAAAATAAATGGGTAGACCAGTGCCTGCAAAAATAAATGGGTAGATCGGTACAGCTCTGCAAGCAGATAAAAGCCTGGTAGACCAGTACCTCTGCTAAATCCTAAAGAATTGTCACATGACCATCAAACCACGCCCACAAAATAAGCCATGCCCACTGAACCGGTAGTAAAAAATTTTAGAACCCACCCCTGATTGAAAGCCACAGATGGTGCTGAAGGATACAGATAAAAGCAAGGATAGTGTTTTTTTATACCTGTTAACAGTCCCAAGATTTTGTTCAGATGTTTCTTGTTTTCCATAATATTTGCATGTTTGGATCTTGCACATTGATCTCCAGGAGCAGTTTAAATGTGAAATGCACACTCATCAACATCAGTTGTGAGTATTACCTATGACAGGTGAGTAATATGTCAAAGTAGACTGTTTAAATGGAGCAGAGATCTCATGAAACAATGCAAAACTAAGGGAGAAGCATACCTCTTATTGCTGGAGAAAGGTAGAGTATTTGCAAAACAAAAAAGTGGGCACATTATTCCCAATTTTCCATAGGATGCCAAAATGGAATGAAATGGATGTGTGTAGAGGAGTATCTCCATAAAATGCACTTATGGACTGAGATATAGTTCAACATTGTCTCTGTATTTTTCTGATGCCAAATAGGGAAATCAGACTGACCATCTGAACAGACAATCAAAGCTGTTGGGGCACAATATGGAAAAACTAAGAGAGTTGTTTGAAAGAGAGTAGAAAACCTAGATATGCCTTCTAATGCTTCAGTGAAATTGCAATATAGAGAAAATTAATATTTTTAACTATTACAATTTGTTATCTTTTAAAACCATTCTCTGGTTATTAAAAAGAAACATTCACTGCATGTTCTCAAAGATTTAGTAGGATTTACCCAGAGAAATTAGCTATACCTGAATATTGTCTATTCAGACAATATTGTCTATTGTATATTATATTAGAATATTGTCTAATTTTGTGAAATGTTATAGGAATCTAGTATTTTGAAAATAAAATGAATTTAAAGGAATATAGTTCAAAAAAACTTTGAATTTAGTCTGCTAGTACTAAATAGACATCATCCTTCCATAACTGATTAAAAATTCTTTTTAAAAAATTCCAAATACTTCATTCTTTACTGTTTTTAAAATTTGCATTTCATGCTGTTCCAGAAAAAATATATCATTTTGTACTGTTGATAGAAAAAAAAGCTTACCCTTGTTAGAAAATGGGAAACATAAATCTTTGTGTTGATTTCAAATTAGACAGCCTCTGATATAAACCAAATCTCTTATTTTCAAAATGTGAAGATTGTCTAAACCAAATGTTAAAACCCATGCACCCTAATATCACCAGCTAGGAAGCTTGCAGATGTGTTAAACACAGTTTGAGCATCTTGACTGTTTGAAGGTCTGCAAAAACATCTGGACCTCTCAACTCGACTTGGGCAAAGCAATAGACGCAATTTACATAGACTTCTGTAAAGCCTTTGATTCAGTAGTGCACGACAAACTAGTTCTATAACTAAAATCTTATGGCATTTCTGGACCCCTACATAATTGGATAGCTATGTTC